TTTAAACGCAAACAACGCCAAGAAAGGAAGATAGTAAACAAAAATTGCCCAAAATTGACAAGTTTTTTAGTCCGCCTTCTGCAAGTACTTCTGGACAAAATGTTTCTATTGATAGTGACTCAAATAATGTGGTAACTGCAGTGTTGGTTTAGAAGCTTACTAAAGAAGATTCGACAATTGTTGCCGTTGGAGATACCTCCGCTGCCGATCATGTGAACGTGGATGATGTTTGTTTGGCACACATAAGCGGATTTGGAGGAACCACAGACCTCTCCATTTTTCGAAAATGTGTACGATAAATCTTTTTATGACTTGGGAACTTCACGAACAGAATATTAAGTGATTAAAAATGTCCAATTCTTGATATGGGGCCTTTACAGCCTTCAGGACTTTTCTAACAGACATCAACCAAAATCGTACTACGCTTCAAGTTCTAAATATGGACCAGTTAATCGTTTTTGGTTGTGTTATTTTAAAATATAAACGCTGCCTATTGTCAACCCAGCTGGTTATTTGCTTCACAAAGGAATAATGTTTGGTGTACGGTAATTCGGGATTGGAAGCATTTATCGGAAAGAATTAAACAACACAGTCGTTCGAGTGGCCATACGAAAGCATGTGCTGTGTATGAATTTTGGGAAAAAAATGATACTAATACTATCGACAAGGAACATGAAAATGAAATTCGCAAAGAAGCATCATTTTGGAAAATGGTTCTTCAAAGGTTATTCGATATCATACTTACCCTAGCAAAAAGGTCTTTGGCTTTGAGAGGACATCGAGAAGACTTAAATCAGGAAGGATACCATGGAAAATTTCTGTCCTTTGAAGAGCTTGTCGCCCGATATGATCACATTTTGCGGCAAGTTTTGGATATGCCCAAAGGTAATAATTATTATTTCTAAGTTTTTTATCATTTTATTTTGTTTATAATTATTAGCTGTTTAATATCAGGACTTTTTTGAAATTGTGTTTTTTTTTGTTTTTAGGATCTACAAGATATCTGAGTGCAACAATTCAAAATGAAATGATTTAGAGCTTGGGGACCAAACTCGAAACCCATCTACTAGAACAAATTAGGGCGTCACCGTTTTTCGCCATCATAATGGATACGACACAGGACAAATCGAAGGTAGATCAGCTAAGCATTGTTGAGATATGCAGTAATAACCAGATCAGAAAATGAACAGCCAATTAATATAGAAGTAATAGAAGTGTTTCTAGGCTTTTATGCAGCCATCAAACATTGCGCAGCAGATTTAGTCAACCAAGTGACTACATTATTTATCGACAAAAATATTGATTTTAAAAAAATGTGTGGGGCAAGATTATAATGGAGCCAGTGTGATGAGTGGTGTGTATAATGGTGTACAAAAACATATTAAAGATATCCAACCTAACGCGGAGTACGTACATTGTGCCACTAATAATTTAAATTTGGTGATAAATGATGCCGTTAGCAGTTGTGTGGAAATACAGATTTTTTTCAGTGACATCAATTATGCATCCAAAACTTTACAAAAATACGACATCAATTTGGGCGAGGCAAGTAAAGCTTTAGTAGAGACCAAAGCAAAGTTGCAAATTTATAGAAATGATTTTGAATTATTTAAGTGCAAAGCCAGTGAAACTGCAAGAAAATATGGTATAGATACCAATTTCCAAGGAAAAACATTTTAATGAATTAGCTGCTGATCACCGATTTCCAAACAGAGAAGAAATATTTAAAATTGAGATTTTCAATAATGTACTAGACACATTAATAGCTCAATTAAGTACACGTTTTACTGGTATGAGTGCAGTCTGTCAAATATTTGATTTTCTAACACCAACATTTTTATTACTTGTTGATGAAGCAACTTTATTACAAAATTGTGACGAATTCCAAAGAAAATATTCAGATATAATAGGCCCTAGCTTTTCACTCCCATTTATTAATATTTACCACCTAGTTTTACCTCAATTAACTCAAGCATGGACTGTTCACCAATTATGTAAGGAAATAATGAGCAAATATGGAGTGCTAGAATGCGACCTAACGAAAGTATTTACAGCAATGTTATTATTCTTTACAATTCCTGTCACTTATACAGCAGCTGAAAAGTCTTTTGACTCGTTTTTCTTTTGAATCTCAGTGAGGAATTGACGCTTGAAGGTCACGCATTATTTTTCGTTTGTCATTTGTGTCTATGCTGTGAAAAGAATGTCGATTCAACGTCGTAAAGCATTTACGATTGAGGAGAAAGGTGCAATAATATGCAGATTAGAAAACGGAGAATCCAACTCATCTCTCGCAAAAGAATTTGGCGTCGGTCATTCGACAAGAAAAAGATTTTATTGCTGGTTGATAATTGCCCGGCGCATCCAAAGAAACACTTGCTTTCCTTCCGCCGAATACAACATCAGTACTACAGCCAATGGATCAGGGAATAATACGAGCAATCAAAACGAATTTTAGAAAGAACCTTGTGCTCAAAATGATTAACTGTCTTGCCGCTAATGACAACAGCCCTTCTACAAAAAGTAACGATGCTAGATGCAATTCTGATGGTTAATGATGCCTGGAATAAAATGTCACAAAGTACCATTCACAACTGTTTCAGACATGCAGGATTCATTGAAAGACACGACGGTTTACCTCATCAAATATCAGAACATGAATTTGATGAAGAAGATGAAGTCCCTTTATCTTTGTGGTCACGAAATCTAAATTCAAATTCTTTAGCAGCACCGGTAATGTGGGAAGATTATGTTGACATCGATAGCGCTCTCCTCACATCTGAAGAACCCACCGATGACAATATCGTACAGAACATTAATGCTAAGGAACAACTTGAAAGTGATGGCGAAGAGGAAGTCGAGGAAGAACCATTATCTACCGCAGAAGAGGCATTAAAAGCTGCAGAATTATTATCCCGATTTGTTAATAGCAATATTGAAAACGATAATTTGACCATGGCGATGTCTTCTATACACAATAGTATTAGAGACTATTTTTACAATAAAATGAAAAAACAAAAGCAGACAAAAATTACAGATTATATTCATTAAAAAATACACTTGTATGTGTATAATGTGTACGTAATAAACGTACAATTTTCATTTCATTAGTTACTATGTTTCTCTATTAAATTAAATACATACATAAAAATGTTTTTTTTTCACAAACCGCTTTGTATGACGTCCGGTTATTATGACGTGTTTGTCGATTCCCTCCGATGTCATTATAAATGGATTCCACTGTATTTATTATTTTTACTTGATAAAACCTAACCAGTTTAGATAGTAATGGGATCCCATTTTTTGATTTTCCCCAGGGCCCTTAGTTACCTAGCTACGCCACTGCCAACAAACTATCTTGAAGTCACAATAGATAATACACTTAAAATGCCCAGGTCACATTTCGAATCTTACAACGAAAATACAGTACCTTCCCTTCACAATGAAAATACTTCGAAATCTTCATCAAAAGAAACATCTACCACAATCTATTCAAATCGCATTTTATTAGCATGGATGGAACTTCTCGTAAAAGGCCGACCTAAAGCTTTAACCGAAAAGAAAGAACGACAAATTTTTCAATTAGCAAAGAAAAACCCTAAACTTAGTTCAACAAAACTTGCTTCAGTGGTTAATAGTGACTTTAACAAAGACATTACATCAAAAATAATGCAAAACATCCTTACACGGGCCGGATATTGAGGCTCCGTAGCAGAAAAAAACCTTTCATCTCTAAAGTAGGCAAAGACGTTTAGATTTTGCGAGAAAGCATGTTAACAAATCACTGGACTTTTGGAAGAAAGTTATGTTTACTGACGAAAGCAAATTTAATCTATGTGATTCGGATGGGAGGACAATTGTCTGAAGAAAGTAGAAGGCAGAAATGGTTACCAAAAATTTATAGCCCACTGTGAAACATGGGGATGGTAACGTTATGGTTTGGGGGGTCATGGCGGCAAGTGGCGTTGGCCAGTTACATTTTATAGAATCAACCATCGATCGATTTGGTTACCTGGATATTTTGAAACACAATTTACAGTTATCGGCGTAAAAATTATCATTAAAAAATGATTTTATTTTTCAGCAGGATAACGACCCTAAGCATACTTCCCATATTGTGAAGAAATGGTTGTTATACCATGTCCCGAAACAATTGCACTCGCCACCAGTCACCCGACCTCAACCCGATTGAAAATTTATGGAAATTATTAGAACGGCGAATTCGCAAACACCAGATACCTAATGTCAAAAAATATTCTAAAAACCAAGTTGGTTGAGGGTAAAATAACGACAGACGAAACGTCTAAGTTAGTCAACTCTATGCCGAACCGTTTAAGGAAAGTAATTTCTAAAAATGGAGGACCAACCCGTTATTAGTTTATTCCATATTTGTTTAATATTAATTTGTATTGTGTTCCGTATGCAGACTTTTTTCCGTCAATTTTTTGTATTTTTTTGAGTTGTGCATTCGTTTTTTCTAATGTCTATTCGCTTTGTAATAATAAGTCAAAAAAATGTTTAATAAACGTTTCTTGTTGATATTTGAGCATTTGTAGCCCTAAAATCTATTAAAAAGAAAATTTATAGCTGCATATTTGATTTGACGGCTTTTGTATGTAGACTTTTTTCCGCCACTGTATTTCGACATTTACCATGTCTCTGTAAAACCTAGCATTTACCGAGTGAACGGTAGTAAAATTTCGAAATTAAGAACATTTTGGACTTTTACCATTCAGAATTGGTAAATGTTGCGTTTTACTGGAAAATCTTAGTATTTACCGCAATTCTGGCCTTTACAGTAACCTATACGCGGGAATTGAGAATAAATGGTATAAATATAAACTGAATACTTATGTGAATACCTACTCACAACTGTTGACACATTATGAAAATAGAGGATTTATAGCAACCGTAAAAGATGACAAAATCAGCTTGTGCTGCTATCACCAAATATATAAAATAAATAAATAAATCAATTTTCTTCTTATCACATGTTTCAATATCATAAATGATGTTGAGTGTATGTAGGGCACACAAATATGTCTTCTACTTCATTCTATCACTTTCTATATAATAAATTCAGACTTGCAGCACACAAACTACATGTTAAAATATTAATACCTATGAATAGCATACCTATTTGCTTAATATTTCTAGAAGGTATTTGCAACTGTTTTCAACGCCCATGCTAAATTGTTTTATTCGTTTGGTTTTTTTTTACCATGTATCTTACAAGATAGTGTGATGGTGTAGTAGGTATTAACAAAATACAATTATTTGTTAATTTGTTTTTGCAAATTGAAGATCCATGAAATATGCACAAGCAGCAAAGAGAGTGAAATGAATAAGGTGACCGAACAAGAAAACTTAATTTTATGTAGTTGATATTATGATGTTAATGAAATATGTTCGGCCTACATGCTATCCACTTTACCACTGTACATCACTCTGTCTTGGCTCTATATTTGTTTGCCAAGCTGTAAATATGTTTAACATGCTTTTTTGACACATTTACCAACAGGATTACAAAACTTAGTATAATGTTGATGCAGCTGAAAATAGCTCTACTATGTTCTGAACAGAAAATGATCATTTTAGTTACTTTTTGCAGAATAAAAATTATTTTGAATCAGAAAAGGTAACATCTTTTCTTTACCTTTATGGAAAATTTTTATATAGAGAAGTTTCATTTCTAGTGTATGGAAATAGAGAATTACAAAAATAAAGAATACATACACATATAAATCATCATCTTCCCCACCCCATCCAATAAATCTATTTGACATTCCATTTATTCTTAAATATTGCTCTGCAGTAATTGAAAATACTCCACCAGTAAAGCCTAAATATGGTAGATGGTACCTTCAAGAGAATAAAAATTAAAATAAAATAATATTATCTTAATGTATTACCTTAAGGTGTCCATCCCACTAGCTAAATGCCTGGGAAAGTTAGAACAAGCATAAAGATGACCACTATTCAACGGAAGTAAATCCACATCATGCAAGAAAAAACATGAAAAATTGTTTTTCAGGGCCTCCTGTGCACCAATATTAAGTAATTTACCCCTGTTAAAAGGACCAGTATCCATTTGCTCAATGACAAATACTCTATAATGAATTTTTTGCAACTGCATGTATCTACTTATATACTTAAGAAATATTTTTAAATGTTCATCTCTATTCCTATAAGGAACTATAATTGCACTTTTGAACCGGGCCTTACAATCCAAAGGTATATATTCACCACCTAAAAATAATAGTATTAAGAAAAAACCTGCATAAAGTTGAGCATATTACCCGGCAATATTGGCTGCAATGTTACATTATTTAATATATATTCTACATTATATTGTTGGTTATTATTAATAAGTTCTTTATAAAAATTATCTTTGCAAACGAATTTTTCACTTTCATTCTTGTTTAAGTATTGTACCAACTCGTCGTAAATATAACGAGCATTTAAATAAGAATAATATTTGGCATGACGATAAGGATGAAATAAGAAAAATACTACGGATCCCACTGCAACGACAAATGCAATTTTTTTATACATTACATTAAATATTTGAATAATACAATCTCTGAATAAGCACTCTAACCATAATTGTCTTACTGAATGTTAGGGTGAAATGGGATAAGGTTATGCCATAGATAACAGGTTATACCATAGACATATTATACAGACTAATCACCATAGATTAACTAATCATAAGCACAGATAGTAAACCAAACCGTGGGATGCGTTTAGAAATGTACTTGAGGAGGTAAAAAAATTAAGGTAACTACTGTTTTGTTACATGAACAGTAAAACATACTTTGTCAAATATGCTCTAATGACAATCTCTAATGCTCTGCCTAACATGATGAGGTAAACTGAGCTTTCTGCGCTCATGCAGTGACGTCGTTGCATTGGACATAACCTACAAGTTTTGAAAATCTGGAAATTAATAAAATTTGCTAAAAGGAATAATTTTAGTTAGGTTATGTAGGTATTTTGGATGTGCTATTTATTATCAAGCTGTCAATAAAATAAAAATTTTAAACATGATACCTAATACTCCTTTTTTTTTTAATATTAACCCCAACAGCTTTTTTTATTTCACGTAATGGCCAATAATGAAGATAGGTTAAGTAAATATACATTTATTCGGTCAACGTACCTCCATTTTTCATTTTTTTAATGCTCTATATGAAAATATTTAATGTTTATTATTATATATTTTTTAATAATTATTAGTTCCTGTCAGGCAAAAACCTAATAGTCCAGGCATCTGTTATGGATTGGATGAAAAAGGTAGTATGCTAGATTTTTGTTGGAATCACTTCCAAGTCATAAGAAAAGACAGTTTGACTATGCGGACAAGTGAAATCGTTGGCTAAACTTTTTATTAAAGAAATAATGGAATGTATTCAGAAAATCCCATTTTCCTCATCAAATCGCGGAATGTCTCACAAATTATTGACTTAGGAAAGAAGTCATGAGGAAGAAAAATNGCACAGTTAAAATGTTCGCTAATACTGATACTATGGTATACAAAATAAAAATCTCATTGTCAATAAAGAAACATACAACCTATTCAAAATTTATCCTGTACCTGTAAAGTCAAAATTAAACGATCATTATATTACTGCCCGATACACAATAAATGGCACTTGGTTATAATAGGAGACTTTATATTTCGATCCCTTTTATCAATCAACTCGAGCAAGTCGAAGACACGTACTACGGACGCCAATTAAATCCACTTCAAGATAATGAACATCCCACATGTGAAAGCTCCATCCTACTCAGGAAACAATGGACCCCTAGTTGCAAAGCAATATCTGTCGCCTTGCGAGACAGTGAAACAATACCCCTGGAAAAGAACTGATGGCTCATCCTTACTGATGGACAATCAATCTTCGCATATAAGTGTCGAAATAAAAATATAAACATGAAAGAGATCCATTCCCACGGTGTAATGGAAGTTAGCAAATCTTGTACTGGGTTGCTTGACAATCGGAAGAAACTGACCGCCACGGCCGCTAACAATGTAACTATCAATAACGCCTTCGATGAAATTCCAATTCCCATGGACTGTTGTATAGAACAAGAGAAAATTATGGACCAAATACAACTAGAACCCCTTCAATTGTACCATTTGAATACCGACGAACTCAATCTCAACACACACAGATTTAATGCTGTCTTGCACAACATATACCAAGAAAAGAAGCGCAGTTGAATCCCCATATACTATCGGAGTTGCTGGGTTCTTCTTGGAAGCGGATTCTTCGCAATATTAGTGATTATTTGCATGTGCTACTGTTGTTGCCCGCAATGTTTAAAGTGTCTCGAGTGCGTAAAGTTCTTTAAGCCGCGAAACGGTTGTGCAGTGCCTTGCAAAAAAATATGCAATATCGTAAAAACGAAAAAGGAACGGCAACCAGTTTACCATCCGACCGTGCGTTATTCCACCACCGCATCAAAAGCTACGTCCGCCCCCGCTCTTGACGCAATAACATCCCTGGATCAAGACGAAGGGACGAAGAACAAGATGAAATCAAACCAAAATTTGCAAACTGGACAATTTCTAAAAGATTATGAAAATAATTATAATGATAACATTTTTGTATTGATACAATTAAGTTAAAGATTCTTTTTATTCGACACTGAACTAATAAAATAATCTAGTAATAATTTTATTCGAGTAACTTTTGTAATTAGACTTAAGAAGACTATTGTACAACTTTAACCATGGCAACTCAATTGAGAGAAATTCGAAAGTTATACCTAGGGAATTCCCCTAAATTCTTTCTTATGGGTTGGCAGTGTTGTCAATTTGACGGATAGCCATATGTGCGTTTTATTATTCATCGATGTGCGTTTTATTATAAATTCGAGTCAAGTTTTTTTTTCGAGAACAGTTAAAAAATTAATGCTGTATCAGGAGTAAGTAAGCTAATGTCAATAAACTTTTTAGTACTGGTCAATATAGTGGTTCAATTTTATTTGATTTTGGTACTACTCATATTAATGTCCGTTACGTCAATAAATCATGTCAAATCAATAGATTTCGGCTACTCATTGTATAACGCGAAATACCGTGAAAAAAAATGCAGGTTACCTACAGTAGGTGCATTAATTCAGGCTCGCGCGCTAGGAAATCGTTCTTGGTCTCCACCGTTAAATGTGGTAACACTAGCGACGATAAAATGTTTGCCGGGGATTCCCCCAAGGACGTCTTATAGAGTATCATTATGTTTCTTCTTCCTCTTACTTTTAACATCGTCAGTGAACAGTGGTTACCTATTCGAGCACAATCTAATATAAATATTGCATAAATAAATTCGAAAACTAAAATTACGGACAAAAAGAAGAAACCCAGTGGTGCATTTAAACGCAAACAACGCCAAGAAAGGAAGATAGTAAACAAAAATTGCCCAAAATTGACAAGTTTTTTAGTCCGCCTTCTGCAAGTACTTCTGGACAAAATGTTTCTATTGATAGTGACTCAAATAATGTGGTAACTGCAGTGTTGGTTTAGAAGCTTACTAAAGAAGATTCGACAATTGTTGCCGTTGGAGATACCTCCGCTGCCGATCATGTGAACGTGGATGATGTTTGTTTGGCACACATAAGCGGATTTGGAGGAACCACAGACCTCTCCATTTTTCGAAAATGTGTACGATAAATCTTTTTATGACTTGGGAACTTCACGAACAGAATATTAAGTGATTAAAAATGTCCAATTCTTGATATGGGGCCTTTACAGCCTTCAGGACTTTTCTAACAGACATCAACCAAAATCGTACTACGCTTCAAGTTCTAAATATGGACCAGTTAATCGTTTTTGGTTGTGTTATTTTAAAATATAAACGCTGCCTATTGTCAACCCAGCTGGTTATTTGCTTCACAAAGGAATAATGTTTGGTGTACGGTAATTCGGGATTGGAAGCATTTATCGGAAAGAATTAAACAACACAGTCGTTCGAGTGGCCATACGAAAGCATGTGCTGTGTATGAATTTTGGGAAAAAAATGATACTAATACTATCGACAAGGAACATGAAAATGAAATTCGCAAAGAAGCATCATTTTGGAAAATGGTTCTTCAAAGGTTATTCGATATCATACTTACCCTAGCAAAAAGGTCTTTGGCTTTGAGAGGACATCGAGAAGACTTAAATCAGGAAGGATACCATGGAAAATTTCTGTCCTTTGAAGAGCTTGTCGCCCGATATGATCACATTTTGCGGCAAGTTTTGGATATGCCCAAAGGTAATAATTATTATTTCTAAGTTTTTTATCATTTTATTTTGTTTATAATTATTAGCTGTTTAATATCAGGACTTTTTTGAAATTGTGTTTTTTTTTGTTTTTAGGATCTACAAGATATCTGAGTGCAACAATTCAAAATGAAATGATTTAGAGCTTGGGGACCAAACTCGAAACCCATCTACTAGAACAAATTAGGGCGTCACCGTTTTTCGCCATCATAATGGATACGACACAGGACAAATCGAAGGTAGATCAGCTAAGCATTGTTGAGATATGCAGTAATAACCAGATCAGAAAATGAACAGCCAATTAATATAGAAGTAATAGAAGTGTTTCTAGGCTTTTATGCAGCCATCAAACATTGCGCAGCAGATTTAGTCAACCAAGTGACTACATTATTTATCGACAAAAATATTGATTTTAAAAAAATGTGTGGGGCAAGATTATAATGGAGCCAGTGTGATGAGTGGTGTGTATAATGGTGTACAAAAACATATTAAAGATATCCAACCTAACGCGGAGTACGTACATTGTGCCACTAATAATTTAAATTTGGTGATAAATGATGCCGTTAGCAGTTGTGTGGAAATACAGATTTTTTTCAGTGACATCAATTATGCATCCAAAACTTTACAAAAATACGACATCAATTTGGGCGAGGCAAGTAAAGCTTTAGTAGAGACCAAAGCAAAGTTGCAAATTTATAGAAATGATTTTGAATTATTTAAGTGCAAAGCCAGTGAAACTGCAAGAAAATATGGTATAGATACCAATTTCCAAGGAAAAACATTTTAATGAATTAGCTGCTGATCACCGATTTCCAAACAGAGAAGAAATATTTAAAATTGAGATTTTCAATAATGTACTAGACACATTAATAGCTCAATTAAGTACACGTTTTACTGGTATGAGTGCAGTCTGTCAAATATTTGATTTTCTAACACCAACATTTTTATTACTTGTTGATGAAGCAACTTTATTACAAAATTGTGACGAATTCCAAAGAAAATATTCAGATATAATAGGCCCTAGCTTTTCACTCCCATTTATTAATATTTACCACCTAGTTTTACCTCAATTAACTCAAGCATGGACTGTTCACCAATTATGTAAGGAAATAATGAGCAAATATGGAGTGCTAGAATGCGACCTAACGAAAGTATTTACAGCAATGTTATTATTCTTTACAATTCCTGTCACTTATACAGCAGCTGAAAAGTCTTTTGACTCGTTTTTCTTTTGAATCTCAGTGAGGAATTGACGCTTGAAGGTCACGCATTATTTTTCGTTTGTCATTTGTGTCTATGCTGTGAAAAGAATGTCGATTCAACGTCGTAAAGCATTTACGATTGAGGAGAAAGGTGCAATAATATGCA